ACATTGGAATGAGATTAAGCATATTTTGCGATATTTAAAGGAAACTCTTGATATGGGTTTGTTTTATGCTAACAAAGGTAATGCAGATCTTGTTGGTTAAGCAGATGCATGTTATTTATCTGATCCCCATAAAGCTCGATCTNATGAAGCAAGTAGGGAATGCGTATGGTTGAGATCAGTGATTCATTTTATTCAAGAAAAATATGGTTTAGAGTGTGATAAAAGATCCACAATTTTATACGAAGACAATGCTGCATGCATAGTCCAATTGAAGGGAGGATTTATAAAAGGAGGTAGAACGAAGCACATTTCACCAAAATTATTCTACACACACGATCTTCAGAAAAATAGTGACATTAATGTGCAGTAAATCCGTTCAAGTGACAATCCGGCAGATTTATTCACTAAATCTTTGCCAACTTCAACTTTTGAGAATATGGTATACAAGATTGGAATGCAGAGACACAAATATTTGAAACAAGGTTTTCATCATGGGGAGTAAAATACGCGATGTATTCTTTTTTCCTTACTAAGGTTTTTTCCCACAGGGTTTTCCTTATAAGGTTTTTAATGAGGCAGCTAGAAATGCATATTACTAAATATGTGTACTCTTTTTCCTTCACTAGGATTTTTCCCACTGGATTTTTCCTAGTAAGGTTTTAACGAGGCACAATACCTTTTAATGAACATCCAAGGGGGAGTGTTATAAAAATAATTATATTGTGGATGTTCATTTATTACTCCGCTATAGATAATCTTCCTGAAGAAGATTATCCATTTAGTACTCTGTTGAAGTTTATCTATAAGCAGCTAATGCAGGCAGGTTGCAAGCAGCTCAATGAAATGATTTGCAGCAGCTTCTTATTAAATAGGCAGGTTGCAAGCAGCTCATGCAGACAACTTACAAGCAACTAAAGAAAAGCCTTGCAGCTGCTTCCTGAAAAGCCTCACAGCTGCTTCCTTTCTTCTATAAATAGAGGAGTTTTCAGTTCATTATGTACATAAGTTTGAAGTTTGAATAATATATCAGTTTCTCTCTATACTTGTCTTTACTTTACATTTTTTATTTTATAACAAATATACTCTTTTGTAAGACTTTTTGTGAGGTGCTATTTCTTCCTTTGTTAAGTTAATTAACTATAATTAATATTCATCATTTCTTAGGGACTTACTTTTTTTCTTTAATATTTACTTTACAACATAAATACATTATTTAATATTATGTGAATTTTAAAACAATTATAGTCACTTATAGGGGTACGCATGTTGGACAAAATATTAACTTTTTAATCCTTTATAAATAGATTTCACATTATTGTTATTCAATTATTTTCTTTATTATTTACGACTTCACAATCAAATAAATTTTATCTATCAATTTTTTTAATTTAACTTTGTTAGAAAATCTTAGTATTTAGGATTTTAAATCTATTAAGATCATATTGATGTAACTTTTATGATATTTAACTCATCGACACGGAATACACACGCAACGCGCGTCACATAAGACTAGTTCTTACTAAAATGTATAGTTAACTATCAAATTATTTCTCCTTAGTTTATTAGCAGTCTCTCACGTTTACCTTTTCTCTCCCCTATCTCCTTTTTTTAAATAATAAAATGGGTGAAAATTCTTTACACCCCTAACTTTACTTTAAATTTCTCTCAACTCTGAAGAATAGAAATAGTTCCTCTCATATCCTATGCATATTTATTTTGCCCTTAAGATTTTCAATCCTTCATTTATGTAATACCTTAAATAATAAAACAGAAAAACTAAAACTAAAGTCTCTCATTATAAATATTAAATTACTTAAAATTTAAATAATATTAATCGTAATGTGAATCCTTAATTGTTCCATTTTGTAATTTGACACTTAAATATAGTTTTCATAAAGATTGACCAAACGTAAATTATTTTCTTTAACACTGACGAAAGAGCTTATCAAATTATTTGACCAAATACATGTTCCTACTCTCACAAAATACCTCTCAAAATATCCACTTGCAAAGAATTTAAGTACTATTTTGAAATGGGGTTTGAAAAGTAGTACTTGGAGACGAGCTTGTGGTCTCAACTTGGACAACTCAACTTTGCAACTTGTAGGGTGATGGTCCATATTACTCCAAAGGTGTATACATGTAAAATTGGGGTAACACATACCTCGATTTCCTGGTGAAGAAAATGGAAGAAGATCATGGACACACGAGATTGAAATCGAAGCTGGGAGCCCTTCGTATCGAGATCCATAAAAGGTGGACGGCGTGCTCATCGTCGGGCATGATAGAGCGACGCGCCCCAGACCCAGAACGAGTTCTAAGATCTCAAAAAATACAGTAAACGATTATACACGGCGGATAGAGGGTCGGGATATTCGGACTTAACCGAATATCACAACACAGAACTCGCTCGATGTCGGTTACGGATCAGTAATTAACAAGAAAGGAAGATTTTTACCTTTTCTAGACTTATACTAGGAATGAAACTCTCCTACTATATAAAGAGAAAGTTTTTCTTTTGTAACAGACATTATAACACATAAATCAAAGCAATTCAAGCTTATTTTTCTGCTCTCTATCTACTGCTAAAGTTCTTATTTAATTGTTATATTCTTCATTCACAACTGGGCTCGAACCAAGGGTCCGATAGAGGGCAAGGTTACTATTCAACCTAGGTTCATGCTAAGCCATAACACTTCAACTGGTTTGATCATTTATTTTGCCTCTAACTCGTTTATTTAATATTCTAGATTATTTGTTTTGAATCAAATCACATATCCTTAAAATCGCGTACCAATTAAATTGTTATCTGATTTAAGGGTAAACAGTTTGGCACACACCGTGGGGCTAAGGATAATAGTGATGATTTTATATGAATCTCCACAACACACCCTATTTTATGTTTGTTCTTTAAAGTCTTAATTTCAGGTCAGCTCAAAAATGTCGAACTCTCAGTCTGCCCACTTGAACGTTGATACTGAGTATGTCCATCATGGCAAAAATAATAATTTGGTGCCAAGTAACGAGGTGCCTCCTGTTGATCCCAACGGTTTCCCAGTTGCTGATTTGGTCAATGCTAACTCACAGGTGACCATCGACGTCAATTTGCCATCCGATCCAGAAAATAGTGTTCATGGGGGACCCCGACCGACAGCTCGAGAAGCGTCCGAAGGCAACGGTGATGAGGTAAGCCTACAACTAATCTTCGAAATATTGCAGGCTCAACATGCGACAATAGTACAGCTGTAGAATCAAAGCCACACCTCCAACTGGGTCGAACCCGAGCAATCCCGGGAAAGCACCCGAAGAAACGAACAACTTACCGAGAGAACGGGTGAAGTCGAGCCTGGGGTCAATCCCAAGATAATGAAAATGCTTGAAGAATTAACGAAGCGGGAATAGTCAGGTGAGAAGAAAATTTAGGCTAATGACAAGAAGGTGGAAACGTACAATTCTAGGGTCGATCAAATTCCGGGAGTACCCCCGTTATTAAAAAGGCTGGATTCCAAGAAATTTATCCAGAAGCCTTTTCCTCCCAGCACGACACCGAAGCCGATCCCAAAGAGGTTATGTATGCCCGATATCCCCAAATATAACGAAACCACAGATTCGAATGAGCATGTGACTTCCTATACATGCGCAATCAAGGGAAATAACTTGGAAGACGATGAAATCGAGTCGGTGTAACTGAAGAAGTTTGAGGAGACTTTGTGCAAAAGAGCAATGATATGGTATCACAACTTACCCCCAAATTCCATTGACTCATTTGCTATGCTTGCAGATGCTTTTGTAAAAGCCCATGCCGGGGACATCAAGGTCGAGACCAGAAAGTCAGACCTTTTCAAGGTTAAGCAAAGAGATAACGAGATGCTCAGAGAGTTCGTGTCAAGGTTCCAGATGGAACGGATGGACCTGCCTCCGGTTATAAATGATTGGGTCATTCAGGCATTCAATCAAGAGCTTAAGCCACGAAGTTCCTTGGCCTCTCAACAGCTAAAACAAAATTTGGTAGAGTACTCGGTGGTGACTTGGGCCGATGTCCACAACAGGTACCCGTCAAAAATCATGGTGTCCACAACAGGTACCAGTCAAAGATCATGGTCGATGACGACCAACTCGGAGCTCCTTCTGGGTTTGTTTACCTAGTCAGGGCCGGTGATAGGTCTAAGAGAGTCGTTGATCATATGCCAAGATCGGTCTGGGATCGGTACCAACCATACAGCACGGACCGAAGGGAAAATATGTCTGGGCATCTCCCCACAAGGAACGAGAAGAGAGACGATCGAGGGCCTAGTAACCGAGGTCTCATGAGCAAAACTGGTTTTGATAGACCGCTCGAGGTAGGGAAGCACCGAGATTATCGAAGTATAACTTCAACGTTGATGCTTCCAGTATCGTGTCAGCCATCAGGTGTATCAAAGAGACCAAGTGACCTCGACCATTGCAGTCCGACCCTAACCAAAGAGATCCTAACTTGATGTGTAAGTATCACGGCACTCATGGTCACATGACAGAGGATTGCCGATAGTTGAGAGAAGATATTGCCCGGTTATTCAACAATGGGCACCTCAGAGAATTTATGAGTGATCGAGCCAAAAACCATTGCAGGAACAGAGACGTCAACAAACAGGTAGAACAAGAGGAGCCTCAGTACATCATCAATATGATCATCGGAGGAGTCGATGTCCCCCAAGGACCAATGATAAAATGCACTAGAGTATCTATCACAAGGGAAATATTCACCCGGGATTATGTCCCGGCGGGAACCATTTCGTTCAGCAACGAGGATGCTGAGGGCATCGTGCAAACTTACAATGATGTGCTGGTAATATCCGTACTTATCAATAAATCTCGAGTCAAATACGTGCCGATTGATCCAGGTAGCTTGGCCAACATCATTAGATCAAGTGTCATAGAGCAATTGGGGTTACAGGACCTAATCATTCCAGCATTCCGGATGTTGAACAGATTTAACATGGCAAACCACTAAAGGGGATATAACCCTGCCAGTAAACACCGCTGGGATGACCCAAGAGACAAAGTTCTACGTGATCGAAGGGGACATGAGGTATAACACTCTATTCGGAAGGGCATGGGTTCACAACATGAGGGCGGTATCCTCTACCTTGCATCAGGCGTTGAAATTCCCTACACCGGGAGGAGTCAAGATGGTTTACGGAGAGCAGTTGACCACAAAGGAGATGTTCGATGTCGACAAGGTAATCCCGGTGCCCGCGGTTTCAACATCAAGGAACGCAGAGTTGACCAAAAAGGAAGAAATTAAATCGCAATCACTGATGCGGGCCTCAGCCGAACCGGAGGAACGAGGAACAGATGAGGAGGATAATTATGATGTACCGAGATCATTCATAGCTCCTGACGACACTGACGCTACCAAATCAACGGTTGAAGAGTTGGAGCAAGTCATATTAATCGAACACCTACCAGACCGAAAGGTATACCTGCACACGAGGTTAATCCCCGAGCTCAAGAAAAAACTTATTGATTTTCTTAAAGCTAACGTATACCTGCGCACGAGGTTAACCACTCATAAGCTGAGTTTGGATCCGAAGTTCTATCCGGTCAAGCATAAGAGGAGGCCACAATCCGAGGTCAAACATGCATTCATCAAGGATGAGGTATCCAAACTTCTTAAAATAGGATCCATTCGGGAAGTTAAATACCCCGACTGGTTAGCTAACATAGTGGTAGTGCCTAACAAGGGGAATAAGCTAAGGATGTGTGTAGATTAGAAAGACATGAACAAAGCATGCCCTAAGGATTCTTTCCATTTGCTTGACATCGATCTAATGATTGACATGACGACCAGACACAAGATACTCAGTTTTCTCGATGCCTACTTCGGGTACAACCAAATTCGGATGGACCCAGACGACCAAGAAAAAACTTCTTTCATCAATAAATTCGGCACCTACTACTATAACGTAATGCCATTTGGATTAAAGAATGTCGGTGTCACCTACTAACGCCTAGTGAACTGGATGTTCGAAGAACAAATAGGGAATTCAATGAAAGTTTATATTGACGATATGTTGGTCAAGTCCCTGCAAGCAGAGGACCATTTGAAACATTTGCAGGACCTTCAACATACTGAAGAAATATAATATGAAGCTAAACTCGGAGAAGTGAACATTCGAGGTCGGATCAGGCAAATTCCTCGGGTTCATAGTATCCAATCGAGGGATCAAGATCAACCTTGACAAAATAAATGTCATAGAGGACATCACTATGGTGGATAACGTCAAGTCTGTTCAAAGACTAACTTGGCGTATAGCCTCCTTGGGCCTGTTCATCTCGAGGTCCTCGGACAAGAGCCATCGATTCGTCTCACTATTAAAGAAGAAGAATAACATTTCCTGGACCCCGGAATGCCATCAAGCTTTGGAATAACTCAAATAGTACCTCTCGAGTCCACCCCTGTTGCACACTCAGAAGGAAGATGAACAGTTGTACCTCTACTTGGCGGTTTACGAGGTGGCGGTAAGTGGTGTCTTTGTCCGGGAGGGAAATTTCCAATTTACTATATTAGTATAACTCTTGGTGAGGCCGAATCAAGGAATCCTCACCTGAAATAATTGGAGCTCGCTTTGCTAAGCGCTTCCAGGAAGCTAAAGTCGTACTTTCAATGTCATCCCATATGTGTCGTGACCTCTTATCCACCTAGGAATATCGGGTACAAGCCCGAGCTCTCGGGCCAGTTGGTCAAATGGGACGTAAAAATTAGCGGGTACGATATCAAATATCGACACCGAACCGCCATAAAATCTCAGATTTTGGCAGACTTCGTGGCCGATTTTACGCCGGCCTTGATACCCGAAGTCGAAGGGGAACTACTTCTAACCTCGGGGACTACTTTGGGGATCTGGACCTTCTTCACAGACGGTGCCTCCAACGCGAAGGGGTCCGGGCTCGGTATTGTATTAAAACCACCTACGAAAAATATAATTAGGCAGTCTATTAGAATTGTGAAATTCACTAACAATGAGGTCGAGTATGAGGCCATGATTATAGGTTTAGAATTGGCTAAAAGCCTTGGGGCCGAAGTGATCAAAGCCATGTGGGACTCCCTCCTCGTGGTAAATCAAGTTAAAGGAATGTTCAAAATAAAAGAAGAACAGATGTGAAGTTACTCGGACAAACTGCAGGTAATCCCTACACCAATTAAGGGAATGGACCCTGCAGCATGTACCCCAACATCAAAATAGTAAAGCCGATGCATTGGGTAACCTGGTGAGAGAAGAAGGCCACGCTGAAGTGAACTCAACGATTTTAACTTGGGATTGGAGAAACAAATACATAGACTACTTGAAGGTAGGAAAATTGCCTTCGGATACCAAAGAATCGAGAGCCTTGCACACCAAGGATGCCAGATTTAGCTTGGTCGAAGGGGCATTGTTCAGGAGGATCTTCGACGACCCACTATCCAGATGCTTGGGACCAGGAGAGACCGAATATGCCATGAGAGAGGTTCACGAAGACACTTGCAGGAACCTTTCGGGGGCAAAATCTTTGGTTCAAAAACTTATTAGGGCCGACGGACCAAAATGGAGAAGGATGTGAAGGACTTCGTACGGAAATGCGATGAGTGCCAAAGACATACCCCGATGATCCATCAACCTGGGAGAAATGCTCCACTCGCTCTTGTCCCCGTATCCATTTATGAAGTGGGGAATGGACATCGTCGGTTCCCTACCACGGGCACCCGGTAAAGCTCAATTCATACTATTCATGACCGATTATTTTTTCAAATGGGTTGAGGCTCAAGCATTCAAAAAGGTCCGGGAAAAAGAAGTCACTGACTTCATCTGAGACCACATAATATGTCGATTTGGGATACCGTCCGATATTGTTTGCCATAACAGAAAACAATTCATCGGCAGCAAGTTGAGTAAGTTTTTCGAAGATCACAAGATCAAGAAGATACTATCAACGCCTTATCACCCTAGTGGGAACGGGCAGGCAGAATCAACGAACAAGACTATACTTCAAACCCTAAAAAACAGTTTGACCGGTGCGAAAGGGAAATGGAAGGAGATCCTGCCCAAAGTCATGTGGGAATACCGTAATATTTAGAAATCGAACACTGGGGCCACCATATTTTCTTGGGTCTGCAGAGATAAAACCTTAATACAAGTCGAGGTGGGAGAATCGAACCTCAGGTTCCAGTATGTGATCAAAGAACCAATTGGCGAGGCCATGATCACGAGCCTGGAACTATTGGATGAAGGGCTGGAGGTTGTCCTAGTACGGTTGGCCGTCCAAAAGCAGTGTATAAAAAGGTATTACAACCAAAGAACCAGCCTCCGACTCTTTCAAATCGGGGACTGGGTGTTGAGGAGAGTAACACTACACACCAGGAAATCGAATGAAGAGAAACTGGCCCCGAATTAGGAAGGACCATATCGAGTTGTCGGGATAACCGACAGAGGCTCATATAAACTCGAAGCGAGAAACGGCGTATAACTACCAAGCAACTAGAGCGTGACATACTTAAAGTGATACTACAGGTAATCAGCTAAGGACTGATGTGGCTAATATGTCTGAAAGCACGTGTTACACTCTTTTTTCCTTGAACCGGTTTTGTCCTGAAGTTGGTTTTTCGGCAAGGGTTTTAACGAGGCAACAATAAAATGTGATACCTTAGATTTGAAGACCGGTTTTAAACCAAAATCGATAGTCATTTGCATAAGATCAACAGTATCGAGCCCTCATGAGTTCGACCTCGAATATTGGGGGCTATTACCCCCGGGTTAAGATCTTTACCAAGGGAAAAAAAGAAAATTTTATGTGTTTAAAGCTAAGACTTAGTGGTTAGGATTCATTTTAAGGGTCAAACAGTCATATGAACCGTGCCCACATAGTCCACTCTTGCCACGACACAAGTGTTATGTGCCTTTGATCATGTACATTGCATATTAAACAATGAAAGAAATTTCTACTTCCCTTACTGTGCATTTTCCTTCTTCGATCCTGGATCCTAAAGCCCACGGGCTACCCCTGCTCGGGGATTGTCAAGCCCACAAGCTACCCCTACTCGGGGATTGTCACACGATAAAAATTCAGACGACTCAGGCTACCGAATCTCGGAGGCACCAAACCCACTAGGCTTTCCCTGAATATAAAATGCTACGCCCACTCTAAAAATGGATCGGAGACATCCGAAGTACGTAACCAGAAAGTAACGCCCTTACGAAAAATCGAAACCTACTAAAAGGTTACCTTCGGCAAAAATATCATCTAAAAACACTTAAGCATCTTAAAAACCTTCGGTCTCATCGAGGGTTCGAAGCCACGAGCAAACTAATGTTGCATCGAAGTCGGGCTCCGTTTGAACCTCCGAAAAATGGACGCTCCAGAACTATATCTGATTTTCTCCGAAGGCATAAAACAATATGCAAATAGAAATTACAAGTAGATGATGGAAAACTAAAGACACGATATTGCCAGATGGGGGGAAATTTTATAAAATCAAAAATATATTTATAGAGGCCTGATAGAACGGACTCAAAATAAACAAATAAGAATACATAAGGAAAAACTAGAAAAATTCTAAGGCATCTACACCCGGTATTCACCGAGGCCCGACTCATCGCTAGAACCGTCGAAGACCTCGGAGCCTTCGAGATCCTCAGGCTCGTAGAGATCCTCGGCCTCGAGCCTTCTAGCTTCTTCAATCTTGGCCGATAAGTCAAAACCTCGGGCATGGATCTCTTCGAGGGTCTCTCTCATAGCCGCGTTATGTACTCAGCTTTCGTCTTTAAGCGGGTCTCGACTACCTCTACATCGGCCTTATACTGGGCCACAATTTCCTCGACATCAATAGTGGTTGCATCCAATTTGGACCTCAGGGCAGCATATTCTTGTCCGAGAGCATCCCGTTCTGTGACGGCCGAGCTCAGTCGTGCCCGGAGATCATCATTTAGCCAAGACCACTTATCGGCTTTATCCTTCACCACTCAAAGTTGGTTCTAGACCTATGCCAGCTCCGCTTTCACATCTTCCTTCACCGAAACCAGCAGGTCTATCTTTCCCTTCCACACTTCGGTTGTGGCTTTGACCTCATGCATTTCGGCCCGAAGCTGGTCGATCAGGTCTATCTTTTCTTGGACCTGCGAAGTTATGTTGTTAGTAACCACGACTAGTTGCTCGTTTTTAGCATCAAAGATCTTTACCTTCTCAACAGGTCGGGGTGTTCCCGCTTCAGGGTCGAGGCCTCCTTCTAAGCTTTTTCCAGCTCGGCCTGGAGATTCGGGAGGTCTTTGAGGGCCTCGTCCTGCTTTTCACTAAGAGCACTGTACATGTCCTTCTTCTGGACCTGCTCTTTGAGCTCGAACTCAAGATGTATGATCTCTAAGCGGTACCAGAGAAAGCTTTCACGGTGAAGCACCAAATCCTGAAAAACAATGAAGTTAGTTGAGGACATCAAAAACCAAAGTGAGATTCAAAAAGGGGTGCAAATGGCCGATGTCTACCCAGTTCAACGCCTGTTGTGCCTCGTGTAAGAGGATCAACATTCCCACCCCGTTCATCTTTGACTGGTCCTCCTCGGTCACTAGGCATCGAAGGTAGCTGGTTATGCCCAGCGGAGCAGACACAACCCGGGTATCCTACGGGATTGTAAGACTCATCGTTCTCTTGTGTTCGGTGTCCACGCTCGGAGTAGGGAATTGCTTCAATATATTTGGGCTCGAACTCGGCCCGCTCGCTCCAGATAGCGCATCTTTCTTCGAGACCTCCAAGTAACCAAGCCAAGAAAAGTCCTCCAGTGCCGTCGAAGAACGTGTTAAAGGCATCATTTGGGCCTTGTGCCACCTCGCTTGACTTCTCCTTGCCTGCTTGGGCCTCTAGATCATGGACTCGGTATAAGAGGGTGTCTCTATGATGTCAATGACACCGGGTTCCTCCTTCGGGACAGGAGCGACTTCCTGGGGGCCGCAACTTCCGTCTCTCCTTCTGGTCTCCGGGTCAGAAGGGGATCGACCTCATGATCCTCTTTCTCGGTCGTCGCCTGCTCCCCCTCATTAAGATTCGACCCATGAGAAATAAAGAGGTCGTCGTCTTCGGGCTCGTCCCTGAGCCGGTAGAGATTGTCGGGGTCCGGTACCCTGGACTTGGTGTTCTTTTTGGGCTTCCGGACCTGAATAATCACTTTCTTCTTCTTCGCCTTGGCATACGGGGAACCCGGGGACTTTCTTTTATTCTTTTTCTTCTCCTCCTTTGTGGAATCCTCGAGCTGGCTCAAAATGTAGGGTTCAGTAAGCGAGGATGGATCCTTGTCCTCATCCAACGACCTAAGTTTGGTGGTCTTAGGAAAACCTGTAAGAAAAGAGAAAGGGTTAGTACTGCGTATGTTAAGAGCGTGGTGGTAATTATTCGGGAAAGAACCTCACCATGAGAACGGGCCTCCCATTTGCCCTTTGAAATCTTGCGACATGTGCTCTCGGAGTACGACATCAGCTTGTAGATCCTCTCGATCCACTCCTTAAATCGGGTAATTGCATTAGGAACTTTGACAATAGCTGCAAGACTATAGACACATGCAATGAGAGAAAGAATAAAAATAAATGAATACTCAAGAAAGACAATACTTATGGGATATGTTCCACTCCTCAGGGAACGACAGAAACTTGGGAGGAATCAGGTCTTCAGTTTTTACCCGAACGAACCTCCCCTGCCAGCCTTGGTCTCGGTCCTCGTTGACGCTCTAGCAAGGAGCCTTGCTTGCTCGGCGAACAAGCTTCATCAGTCCTCCTTGAAAGATTCAGGGACTGTATAAGCGGAGTAGATGGTCGAGGGTGAACCGAGGGGCTTCGGTATTGTTTACGAAATTGTGTAAGAGGATTACGATGATCCAGAAGGACGGGTGAATTTGCCTAAGGCGCACCCCGTACCTTTTGCAGAAAGCAAGAAATATAGGGTCCATCGGGGTGAGCGTAAAGGAGTAAGTGTAAACACTACAATACCCCTTCACGTGAGTAGTAATATCATCATTGGGCCGGGGGAAGACCACGTCCTTACCCTCCCGTTTATAGTCCGCTCGGACTATGGGTAGGGTTTCTCCCTCGCCTCGGTCTTGTTGATTGGAGGCCTTCTCGACATTGAAGTCATTCCCAATAGAGCAGCCCCCGGGTATGAAGCTCTTCATGGGGGGGCTCCTAAGCCACTTCGGGAATGTCCACCTCAGCATCTGCAGCCAGGTGGGAGATGAAGGAGCAGCCTGCTGAGGCACAAACTTGGAGGTTTTTGCCATTGTAATCTGGGTAATATGAAGGTCTGAAGAAGAATATGAAGGTTTGAAGAAAAATATGAACATTTGAAAATGGTATGAAGGTATGGATTGAAGGTTCAAAGAAAATGTATGAGGATTGAAGATGAAGATATGAAGGCTTAAAGAACTATGTATGAAGATTTGGAGAAGTTAACAGCCGTTAGAGAGTTCGAGGAAAAAATCTAGAATCGAAAAGTGGAAAAAGTGAAAAAGGTCGAAGCTTTTATAGGGGGAAATAATCAATACGAGATGTTTCGCATTCGAAGGCAGCCAACCGATGACTGACACGTGTCCGAAGTCAGAACGACGCGATTTATGGGACATTTCGGTTTACCCGTCATCTCAGTTGTAACGTATGAAGGAAGGAACCGGGGTTCATCTGTCGTTTACCATCATTTCAGTAAACCTACTCTCCGAAAAATGAGGGGACTATTTGTATACGGGTAAAATCGGGGGTAACGTATACCCCGGCCCGATTTCCCGATGAAGAAAACGGAAGAAGAACATAGACGCACGAGATGGAAATCAAAGTTGGAAGCCCTTCATATCGAGATACATGGAAGGTGGACGACGTGCTCATCGTCAGGCATGATAGAGCGACGTGCCCCGGACCCAAAACGAGTTCTAAGTCCTCGGGAATCACAGTAAACAGTTACACACGGCAGATAGAGGGTTGTGATATTCAGACTTAACTGCATATCACAACGCAGATCTCACTCGATGTCGGTTATGGTTCAGTAATTAACGAGAAAGGAAAATATTTTTGGTGTTTAGACTTATACTAGGGATGAAACTCTCATACTATATAAAGGAGAAGTTTTTCTTTTGTAACAGACATTGGAACAGAGAAATAAAAGCTATTCAAGTTTTTTTTTTCTACTCTCTTACTACTGCTAAAGTACTTATTTAATTGTTCTGTTCTTCATTCATAACTGGACTCGAACCAAGGGTCTGATCGAGGGCAAGGTTACTGTTCAACCTAGGTTCGGGCTAGGCCATAACAGTACAACTGGTTTGATCATTTATTTTGCCTCTGCCTCGTTTATTTAATATTTTTGACTATTTGTGCTGAATTAAATCACCTATCCTTAAAATCGCGTACAAATTTAATTGTTATTCGATTTAAAGTATGGTTGTCCAACGGGATGGGCCGTCCCGTACCGTCCCAGGCCCCTTCCGTATACCGTCCAGTCCTGACCCACTTAATTCTAAATGGGATGGGGGCATGTTTAACGATACACGGGATGGGACGAGATGCTCATTTCGTCCCGTTTATCCAGTCCCGCTTGTTTTTTTAATTGTTTTTTTTAAAATATAGACTTTGGGCAACGACCTCATTTGCAAATTTAGCCGTTCCCAACGGCCAAAAATGGACATATTTGCCCCCTCCCAAAACACCCCCTCCCCAACTTTTAATATAACTCCTAAGTTTATTAAATTATACTTTTGTCCTATTTTTTACTATAAATACCCCCATCCTTCTTTATTATTTCCCACAAAAATTAATCATTCTCTCTCAAATCTCTTACATTCTATGTATATTATTCTCTCAATTTTCTCACAATTAAGTGATCAACTAAGCTTCAAGTAGTTGGGCAAATTTTTGGAGTAACTTTCAAGCTTCAAATTAATTCGTCAAGTATTTGAAGCATTTTTTTGGGCAATTTCTTCAAGTTTTAACTTTTAAGTTTATTAAATAAGTCAAAAAACTAGCCGTTGCAAACTTTAAAAATTTAGTCATTGTCAAAAAGCTAGTCGTTGCCAAACTTAATGCTTAAATAAATTTTTTTAAAACGACCCACTTAAGGCACACGAAACCGTCATGTCCCGTCCCGTTCCATCCCATCCCGTTTGTTAGCGGGATGGGATGGGCCTACCATTTCGTCCCGTTTATCCCGTCCCATTTCGTTCTGTCCCACCACCGTCCTAGCTAAATGTCATCCCGTCCCGTCCCGTTGGATAGCTATATTTTAAAGGTAAACAGAAGGATTGATTGATTCCTCGAATTAGATGGATGGATTAGGATGACAACTCAAATCCTAGAATGGCCTTGGATAAAGAGAATATATTTGCATGTAGATTATGTAGCTATATGTGTGTGTCTGAGTTATTCTATATCAAATTACCAAGCCCTGAAGCAAAAAAAGGAGCAGACACAAAGTAGCATTCCTTAACTAGAATATTGTAGAACAAACTTTAGATCATTATTGATCACGCCCAACTCTAGTCCTAAAAAGTATAAGCGGTCGCTACAAATATAATCCGGTCTAAGAGTCCAGAGTCAAATCCCATAGAGAACTAAGGCTTAACTACAATTGTTCAATATCGTAAGGAAACACAAGTTCAAATAATTTTCTAGTTAAAAATATTTGATTTTTATTTCTACTAATTAACTAACAAATATTATAAAGCAGTAAAATTATCAACTAACAAGGATGAAATTAGAGAGATGCCTAAGGAGGTCTAGAGTTGTGATTTTCTCAATTATCGGAATCCTTCCTACTATATTTTTTTATAATTTTGCCTAAATATTCTCAAACGATCGTGAGTACTTCGGGTGTTATAATTATCTTCCGAGCAACTTTCACAATTTACTAGACATATTCTTTCGAACTACACTAGCTGGCACTAATTCACCGCTCACTAAGATCGCATCAAGGTTTCGTTATTCCAAATCCCACATTTAAACCCTCCGTATTGATTCCTCACATACGTTATGAGTGATATTGTTCAACAACTACCTAAATATGTACCCTTTTCTAAGCAATACATACTAAATAGGCACAGTCAATTGATGGTCATTCAATCAACAGCAATAAACACGTAGTTGAACAAGTAGAGAAATCCAACAGCTCAATTATATAAAAACGTAATAAGAATTCATCCTATAAAATGTTTCATCAAAATCCTAGATAACAAATTAGCTATTCATAATAGTATGCAAAACTACAATACTAGAATTCATAACTAATAATGGAAATAGGAAGAAGGAACTGAAAAACTCGTAGAAGAATTCTCTGCCTTGCTCCTAGCGTGTTTTTGCCTCCTTAGGTTGAATCCCCTCTCCAAAAACGTCTCCCTTTTGGTCGAATCTGCTCTAAAAACGTTCTCCTCTTCTCTTAGACATATTTAGGGAGTATTTATAGGCTAGTATTGAAGTCCTTGAGTTCAAATCCGGGTTGGAGACTTTTAACCCATGACTTTTAATTACCGGGCTATAGACCTCACGAAGCCAGGCTTATAGCGCGGTTAACCTGGCTATAGACCGTGAAGCCTGATCTGTAGCGCGGTCAAGCTGACTATAGATCTCACGAAGCCTGGTCTGTAGCGCAGTCAAAATAATCACTACAATTAAAATGTAACAGATCAGGCTAACAGATCCCAATTAAAGTGCTTTAAGAGGTAAAATGATCAAAATAATGTAAAATAAGAACAAAAGGGTATAGGCTCGTAATGTGGGTGTCAAATAAAAGTCTATATGCTCAAAAGGGTTTACTAGGGATAGATTTTATTTGTGGTAGACATTAAGTTCAAAAAGATCAAAGAAAGCATAAAATCATTTTTCAATTCAAGCACGCCTAGGATTTCGCTTCAACTAACATGCCTGGCAAGTTCTAGACTTAGTTACAATGACATGGACTACACAGGAAGATCTCATCACACACGGCACATGATTCACTAAGGACGGTTCCATTCCGATTCTCAAACAATTGCAAGTATTCATGGAGTCACAAAATATTAAGCATTAAGCACAAAGTGACACAAGTCGAGAAAATGAGATATAGGCATCAATACACATGTTATCTACTCAAGAAGGCATCATAAGTATTTTCAAACCATAGGGAATGTACTACACATGCTCGAGCTTAAATATGCTACTATCAAACTAGTCAAAGGCGCCTAACAACCCGGTTCAACTACATCCCGTAGAAAAGAACCGAGGCACAAAGAAAAACCACGAGGGATTATAACTACCTAAAAGGATAAAAAGACATATTTTTGGATTTTTCTATTTTTTTCTATTTTTTTTATGTTTTTAGTTATACTTTAGACCCTCAAGAAAATTGTCTAGGATATCCATCGTCGGGAAAAGTCCAATATTTTTTTATTTTTCTTAAAAAAAAAGATTATTCACTTAAACTAACACAACTAAAATAGCATAGAAAGTCACCCAGACAATCTCCTCACCCCACACTTAAAATTGTGCATTATCCCCAATGCACATCATAACTAATAAGAGGGTAAAAGAAACTCCCTAG